TCATAACTCCTTTCGGACTCTATGAATTTTTGCGAATGCCTTTCGGTCTAAGGAATGCTGCTCAAACATTCCAAAGATTCATAGACGACGTTTTTCGAGGTCTCAACTTCGTACACGCGTATGTTGATGACTGTCTAATCACAAGTCCGGACAGAGAAACACATCTCAAGCATCTGGATCTTGTTTTCGAACGACTTCAAAAACATGGCATAACTGTAAACGTTCAGAAATGCCAATTCGGAACCAACTCGTTAGACTTCCTAGGACACACTATCGATGCTCAAGGCATTCGACCTCTTAGAACCAAAGTGGCGGCCATTCTGGATTACCCAGAACCGACCACCGTCAAGCAATTACGCACGTTTAACGGCCTCGTAAGTTTTTATAGACGTTTCATACCGAAATTCGCATTACTCATGAAACCGCTGACCGACCAACTTCGTGGAAATGCGAAATCCATTAATTTGGACGACACCGCACGAAAAACATTCTCCACAGTTAAGGAACTGATTGCTAAAGCAACAATGCTCGCACATCAGGACACCCGAGCACCCATTAGCATCGCAGTAGACGCATCCGACTCAGCAATCGGAGGAGTCTTACAACAATGGGTTAACAACTCCTGGCAACCCTTGGCATTTTTCTCTAGAAGGTTGCTAGACACCGAATCGAGGTACAGCACATTCGGTAGGGAACTCCTAGCTATGTATTGTGCTGTACGGCATTTTCAACACTACATCGAAGGTCGTGAATTCACTCTTTTCACGGACCATAAACCGCTCACTTTCTCGTTAAGCTCTCCTTCTGACAAGTACTCTCCCCGTGAGTCTCGACAACTGGACTACATTTCGCAGTTTACTTCAGACATTCAACACATCTCTGGAGCAAACAATGTAGTTGCAGACGCTTTATCTCGCATAACTTCCTTGAACAGTTTCCAAGGAATCGACCTTCTTAAACTCTCCGAGCTTCAAAACGAAGACAGTGATCTTCAGCACGAGTTATCGTCCACAACACTTAAACTACGCATCAAACAGATGGGAACAGGTAAGGAAACCTTACTTTGTGACACATCTACAGGTAGGGATCGCCCAATCGTGCCGAAACATTATCGACGCAATGTCTTCAACACATTGCACAAACTTTCGCATTCAGGTGTTCGTGCAACCATCAAGCTTATAGCAGAACGGTTTTGCTGGCCTGGAATGAATAAAGACGTGAGGGAGTGGGCACGCTCCTGTTTAAACTGCCAAAAATCTAAGGTCATCAGACACAATAAATGTCCCTTAGGCTCGTTTAAAACTCCCGATGCTCGTTTCGACCATGTTCATTTGGATTTGGTAGGACCGTTACCAGATTCAAATGGATACTCTTACCTCTTAACCTGCGTAGACCGTTTCACTCGATGGCCAGAAGCAGTACCTATCAAGGACATCACTGCTGAAACAGTGGCCCGCACCTTCGTCGAACGATGGGTAGCAAACTTCGGTTGCCCTTCAACCATCACTACAGACCGCGGACGTCAGTTTGAATCTGATCTTTTCCGTCGTCTGACCACACTTTTAGGAATCACTCGCTTCCGAACGACCGCCTACCATCCACAAGCAAACGGGTTGGTAGAACGTTTTCACCGACAACTGAAAGCTTCGCTATCAGCTGCAAACGTTTCACAGTGGACCGACGCTCTTCCACTTGTCTTACTAGGTATCCGCAATGCAGTGAAAGCTGACATTGGATACACTGCGGCTCAACTCGTTTATGGAACGACACTTCGACTTCCAGGAGAATTCGTGGATCCTTCATCCTCTTCAATGAACATGGATCTAACCTCCTACACGAACAGGCTTACAAACGCAATGCGTTCAGTTAAACCTGCTTCCACTCGACCTCAATCAACTGATGTTTTCGTTCAACCTGACTTACGATATAGTACACACGTTTTCGTTCGTCGAGACTCGCATCGACGACCATTCGAATCAGCATACGAAGGACCCTTCAAAGTTCTTCAACGCGAACCGAAGTACTATATAGTCGATAAGAACGGAACCAACGATAGCATCAGCATCGATCGCTTAAAAGCAGCGTATTTAGAAGGAAATCCTATGTACGTCGATTTTCCTTCGTTACAATCGAACGACACGACTCCACTCGTAATTCGTCAACCGACAACCAATACTAGCGATGATACTCAGCATGTATCTGAAAATAAACCTAAAACGACGCGTTCTGGAAGAAGGGTGAGATTTCCAGAACATTTAAACGACTATTGCACGTAAGGCACTTCTCGACATTTTATATTATTTTTTTTTAAAAAAGAATTTTAATATGCTTATATATTTATATTATTTTTACTAAAAAAAACAAAACAAAAAAAAACATTTTTTAACGCTATTATGTGTGCTTGAGTTTATTTTCCATTTTTTCGCCGACATTGTGTTTTTACGCACATACGAGTGTATTTCGACATGTACTTACACTTTTTTTTTCTTTTCCAGGACGGCTGGAAAAGAACGATGCAGTTTACGAGGAATCGAAATTTTTCGTTGTAACTTTTTCTTTTTTACTATGTTGTACCTCGGTCCCATATAGTAAGGAAAGACGACCAGACGCTGCTACACTTAGTAAGCTATCAGAAGAGTGTTTACCAACGACAAACTCGTTGGGTTTAAACTTCTGGCTGGCCACGTCTTAGGGTCGTCACTACCTCACTAGGGGGGGGGAGTGATCTGTAGCGGTAAATAAATCCCCAAAATAAATAGCCCTAAGTTTTCGACATTGGGTGCTGACCATATGTTTTGGTGGACTCATCTAGCTGAAGGCGCTCGGTCAGGCATCCGCACCAGATCACGTGTGGTAACGCCGTGCTCAACATCAACCGCAATCGCTAGCCAGATTAGATCAGAGAATTCCAATATATTGGTCATCGCCAAATATACTATTCCGATCTCCTCGACTCTGTCTTTTGATTTCTCTGGGCGGGAACGAAATATATTAGAAGGTGTTACTGGTAGAAGCGTTGTCAAACACTGAATACCCGTGACATCATCAATTCCTTTGTACCTGATTGCGCGTTTACTACAAATTCCAAGTATAATACGTTCATTTGTGCATATCTAGCTCTACCTACCTTAAATTACACCATTTCAGGAATTCTTAGCACATTAATTCGCATAATTCTAATTATCATAAACATTCAGAGTTAAAAAGGAATTTTACGACTGATTTAGAGAATGTAAAACACTAGGATGGTTGGTGAAACTTACTAAACGACGACAACCGTAATTTGTACAAACCACTAAAAAACAGGTGTATTATTATGGTGAAGAACTTCAGTAGTTCGGTGTATACAGAACTGCCTCAAGTATTAACAAAGTATTTCAAATGCCGCTGTATAGCCGTGATGGAGAGTTATTCAGTAAAGACAGGTACGTTTTAGGAATCCGCATGGCTTCAAGAAAGACAGATCTTACATCATAAATGGCTTGTCAGCGTGAAACGGCTCTACAAGTTTCTGGGATTCCCCACACATGGATTACTCCAGGACCTTGTTAAGATACTGAACATAGCGCCCCACACTGTCCTGCGGATGAAAATAAAGCGAACACGGCTCACTCGTTAACTCCTCCTACGGTTTATTAACTGTTCAGCAATTTTAATGAATCGGATTCAAACTGGAGGATTAGTAATGTCTTAAGGAGCAAAAATACCTATATTGGCCATTGACTGTCCCTCCAAAATATTATTTTATTATTTTTCTACCTGAAAGATTCCAGTAAGCAATGGAGAAGTGTCATATGTGGGGGTGATCCAAAAGGATTTAGGAAACGTTTAAGGACGACCGAAAAAAACTGCAATGGTAAGTAACTCTTCAAAATCAGTGGTTCTGTAAATCTTTGACATATGATGATGACCACATTAGTGTGACTGGACTCACCTACCTGATGGTGCTTGGTCACACATCTGCCCCAGATCACGAGTAGGTACGTCGTGGTATTCATCCCTTTCAGCTACTAGCTTTCTAAGACCAAACATTCCTTCGACACATTGATAGCCTTCCAAATACAACTTCGAACTCTTTCATTCTAGACTCCTGATTAGACTGCGTTGACATACTTTGATTATTAAGGTTTTACTTGTCAAGGCGTTGTCGAACTTCGGATACTTGTGACATCTTTGACATAACAAATCGTGACCCATGTCTTTTGTTAACAGAAAGTTAGAATACTAGCAAGAGTTATCCCAGAGATGAAAGCAAGGTATATTCAACTCTCTATTTCGTCGGAATACTGTTAGGAATGCAAACTACCTAGTTCTTTTAGATGCCTTCTAAGGTCTACATCTGCTAGTGTCTCAAAATCCACAATAATTTCAGTTCTTCTCAAAGTTTGTGACTCTAGATTTTAAGAGAGCAGGGAGTCGCCAGATAATGTACGAGATGCAACTTACCTATGCCATCAAGGCAAAGCTTTACCGGAAGCCAGTTACAGAATCTGACTCGGAAACACTCAGAGAACAGCTAGTCCACCAGAAAAATTTATTACTGCTCGATCATTTTTAAGGCGCCATTTCAGCCGTCGTAACTACTGTTCCTTAGATGGAGAACTGAGAAAGGTGACATGACTATCGAGCATGTTATCCAGGTTTACTCGCTTTCACCTGGAATGACGTTTAATCACAATCAGAGACATTCTTGAGCTTATTTCTTATGCCCGAAGAACTTCCCACAGGTAAGCTCTATTTCGTTTTATTACTTCTTATGTCTTTTTGTTAATTAAGTAATTTGTTTACTCCTCTTAACATGTGTTAAGCGGGGAGTACTTCTCTCTCCACTAATTTATATCCTGACGTACGAATCTAAATACTGAAATCAACTATTCGTTTGTCGAACAACATGATAAATGCTGACTTCAGAAACCTTGTTACCGCTGGACGAAAGTATTCACTTAAACCGAAAATCTGGCTCATCACGAAAAATTGTATTCAACCCTCACTGCTTGACCTTCATTCGGACCGCGGTGTTCCAGTTTTTGCCTTTGGTAGCAGGGTTGTATAACTCTTAGTTAGTACGATGGGGGAACTTTCTATTCGTTTCAGTTGTGCACAAACTAGACTGTTGTATGTTTGGGTTGCTGTTTCACTCAACTCTTCAACTTTCTGCTCACATTTTGTGATATTATATACTCAACGAGATATTTGATAGGGTTGATTTGCCTTTGTATCAGTGTCAATAACACTAAATACCTAACGAAATAAACAGCATTTACTTTAAGAAACAACCGATATTGGCCGAGGTTCTTCTGAGCATTACAATGCTCATGAATGAGTTAGGTCATACGGCAATCAAATGCACTGTATTGTCCGAGGCTAAATAAGGAGATAAAAGATATGATAATGATATCAAAGCCATTGAAGCTAGGTTTTATCTCATATGTGACCACAGAACAGTCTGAAGTATCAAGCACATTCCTTTATTGATACCAGTAGTCGCGCTCTGCTCATCTTTAACATGTTCACAACTGAGATTATTATGCGATAAAAAACTTGCATCTGATGTGCTAAATTAAATAGACAGATAATGGGACAGTATTCCCAACAGGCTTCATGATGTGTCAAGTAAAGCTCTATTGGTTGGCCGGAGTAAACTAAGCTAACGTCACGACAACAAAGGTCTTGGAAAACGGAACATATTGTTTGGACCACAGCAAGGAGAGCTCAACCGTAATGTCAATCCTAGTCTGAGAAATCAAAACACCTTGCCCCTAAACTTATACCCAAGTGAAATATCAAGACAGAAGCCTATATTATCATATCTGTCATAGAAAATTTTGATCGAAGACCTCTTTGATCATAGTCTGGGGAATACTCATTGTTCAGGAAGTTTGTGTTGTTATAGATTTCTAAGGTGAGGTTCTCATGAGATTCAAAATGTCTAGAGTAGTCACCTCTATAGAAATGTCAGTCACCATGCTATTCAACTCAAGCTGAAAGTTTATGCTAGGATAGCTTTTAATAACTAGATTTAAGACATTACTTTCAGTAATAAAACGAAGTGAACGTGTAATTTTTCTATAGTTGGAAATCTCAACTTATTTTGTAGAAATAAACTGGTATTCCGGGGCGAACTTGTCAACCCTGGGTTTGATCAGTAGTATGTAACGAAATTCCGAGACAGATATAGCCAATAACAGTCCTAGTGTTTGAGTAAAAAGGTGAGTCATTTCGTAATTTTTATGGACTAAAATCGGTTGGTTTGTAGTTGAACATGTTGAGTATCTACATCCGTCGATATGCTATTTCTGGGTATTTTTTGGAAAATCTTATGTGCCTCACGGTTATTAATAGCTGCTGACATATGATTGCCTACACACGGAAAACGCAATATACGTAAACTATGTACACCAAGATGGAGGAGTCGCCTTTCTGAAGAGGTCGAAGTATATTTAAAAAAAACTTTTTTTCACTTGGAAGCTGTCATGCTTGATGTGTAGTGGTTTCTGTAATAGACACTAACGGCTTAAAGTGATCGAATCTTCTAACTAGGCAACTTTAAAGTTTTGTTGTGCTAGCACTTAATACCACGTTCATATAACGTCTTGAACTGATTGTACGACTCATCTAGTGTTATTTACGTCCAAAACAATGGCAGCTAGAGTGAAACAATAATCTGCTTCTTCGTCCTGAAATCCACATTTTCACATCATTTTGCCCTTTATGTCATGATTATCTCTTAATAGGTGTTAGTTCGCGTAGGAGGTTAGGTTAAAAATGTAACTTATCTCTGCTGGTGGGCTTTATGTTTTACAAATACACTCGATCTCTGACCAATGGGTTGCATTTTTTAATCCAGTTTTGCACACTTGTTCAAAGTCAAGTGTATTGAATAGTAAGCTACATTAAAATTTTAGAAATTATGCTTTTGATGGTATATATGATAGTCGATGTCCTCAAGATAACAGATTTCGAACATCATCATCTGTAAGCACCTGAAAATACAATCAGTTAATCATAAACAAATAGATTCTAGGCATTAACTGATGATTTTTGAGATGCTTCAATAAAATGCATGTACTTATATTTCTTTTTACCTTGTTCTATTCAGATTCGTTTCGTGATGAAATTCTCAATTTATATATTCACAACTTATCTTTAGTCATCCAGTAGTCATTGAGTGTAATCTGTCGAACAATATACACGCTCTTTTAGCAATGGAATTTGCACATACTATTTTCAGAGTAGCATTGTCTGGGGACCCCAGTATGTTACTACAAATTTTATCTGGGGATCCAGGTTTGGCGAATCTTCCTGACTTTGATGTAAGTCGGGAAGTTTGTCTTTATTTAACAGGGCAATATGCCACTTCATTTTGCTGCTATGTCTGGTTCATGGGAGTGTGTTAAAATATGCATTTCTGCTCTACAAGCTCGCAAGGATCTTGACTGCGCAACGGAAGTTCAACGTAAAAATTTCGTGGTAAGTTAATATACTAATAAGCATCTTTCAAAGGGTAAAGATGCTCTTACCATTTCCGTTGAGAAAAGTGATTATGAATCATTTAATCTACTAATAAGTGCAGGAGCAGAAACAGATTATCGGTGTGCGGATTATGTGCCTCCTCTGGTGGCTGCTTTAAGTCAAGATAACGTGAAGGTGTGTTCACATTATACTAAAATATATTATTAAAACCATGTTAGTTAACCGCTAACGTCATGGATGCACTCGACATAAATTTCCTTCGTTTACGCCGGGATCGCTATTGGATTTTAGCATTGCATACTGACCTCTCAATATCTTTAGCTTATTTCAAGCTCCTAAAGGCTCATGCTGTCCCATACATGCTAAGTGAATTTGAGGAAATTTGTGCCATTGTTCTTGAAGTAAGTTTCAATAATCGATCTAATTTTCATACATTGTCAACGTAGTATCAGTAATTGCTGAACCTTGCCGTTTTGATGGTCGCTTTTTTATTCATTCACCTCTAGCCACTCGTAAACGTTTACAGCATGATAGTTTTGACAGATTCTAACAACGGACCAACAACTTACCTGATTGGAAGTCTAACTCTACATAGGATAACGTTAATCTACTTTCATTCCAACAGCAGCATTCTGTTGTTACATTACCTCTGCATTTCGGACCTGTTTTTTTATTTTAATTTTGAGTAAGCTCTTGCACAGTTATTAAATTACAAACTCGATGCATTTTAAGGAAGTATGTTAGTTGTTTTGCGCAACATACACTGTCAAGTACACCCCTTATTTGTGTTGCCAGCCAACAATATTAGGCCTAAATAAAATATAGAGATGATACTCTTTGAAAGTCGAAATTCAAATTATTAAATAGTACTTTATTGGGTACTGACGTAATAGGAAAGAGACTACTTAAAACAAAGAAACAATTTCGAAGCAATAACATTGAATACAGTGTTCTTTCCAAATGAAACAATTATGAAGTTCGATACGAGTAAATTTATAAACTCTTAGAGCATATTGTATAATTTAATTGCAATAGTTATGTAAATTTAAATAAATTTGTTGCTTTACTTGTTATTTATTATTGGCATGTAGAAAGAACCATCAATAATAGGGATTGAAGAATTTTTGATTTACTTGGGGTCAGATGCCGTGGAACGTTGGTCTATTCATCAAGAAGAAGTATCTCTTTGTTTAATGCGTATTTCATCCTACTTTTTAAGAAAAGTCGTTCCATTTAGTCAGGACTTCAGTTGTATTCATCGCTTACAAAAGTTAGGATTATACACGCCCCCGTCATCTGCTAGAACTTGGTTGCAAGTTCTGTCTCAATGGGGATTCCCAAGGATTTGTATTGAACAACCGGAAGTCCAAAAACAATTGATTTGGAATTTAGCAGATATCGATAGGAGTCCAAAAAATACAGTTCCGGACAGGTGTTTGCTGCCGCTTGTACTATATTTCGCTGTCTTAGCATTACGTTTCCCATATACAGATTGGATCGATTGTTGGCGTGAAGTTTGCTCTAAGGCGAACTTTAATGAGCATGAATATAACCTAGGAACACTTCTGGAATTACACAGTGTAAGGCAGTCAAAATCTGTTTTCGATTTCTTCTGGCATAATATATTCACTTTTGCTATTTCACGTGCTGTGTTGTGTACTAATTTAAAACTTTTTCCCTTAAATGATACTCAGTGGTCCATGGACAGATTTTTAAGTCATGCTTATCACGAATGCCAATTATTACAACCACTTCCTCCAGGGAATCATGAGAAATTAATTTATCTCCTTTCTTACTTTCCAGCATCTAACAATATTCCTGGACATGAAATTTTTATGTCTATTGTGTATCAGCATTTCTTACCATTGATATCTGATGATGATATTGAATGTAGTAGTAGTTGCTCAAACGTTAATCCCAATGTATTGATGACTGCTACAGTTCATGTGCTTCATCAATATTGTTTATTAAATCTAATTGTAAACTTTTCAGCTAAATTAGGTCTGAAATTCCTAAGCAATATTCAAGACTGGCCACGTTCAATATCAACTGACTACAAAATCAAGTTGTTCAATATATTAATTGCATGCTATGTTGAGTCTAGTCGACATACCAAAGTACCTAGAAACATATCCCAGATTCTACCATTGAGACAAATGAGTTGTGATCATTCTAGTTATTTGAATAATTTAGTGAATGACTGGCTGAGTAAATGGTTGTCTGAGCCGAAACGTCTCTCATTATGGTCTAAAGTTACTATACGCACATGTCTCAGACGTTCCACGCAACATCGTTCTTTCCCTAAACAACCTGTAAATGAACTTATTAGGCGTTTACCGCTGGCCCCGATGCTCCAGGAGTACCTTATAGATAATGAATATCTAAAGTAATGTTGATTCTGGTTATTTCTACAAAGTAAACTCCTGATATACTTTATGATTGTATATTCATTTACAACACAAAAATCAATGCGATCTTGAGTAAATACACTTGCTACAACAAACCTTGGTTGTTTTATATCATGCTGAATGGGTGAGAGTTAAGAACATACATGAACAACGCTTCAAAAACTGTTCGGATAGTATTAACTGTATTAGTGTTTTACAGACAAGTTAGAATTAAATGAAACGCTAAATAACATACTTATTCCCTAATTGATGGGACACCTCACTCCCTGGGTAAGTGGGACATAAACGGTAATGGGGAGACGAAATACTTGGTGCGATAGTGATACACCAACATCCAAAGAGGAAGTATCAAACGTTTTATATCTACCCATCAATACCTGGGAACACTCAGTGCAATGCCAACAACCATATCCAAAATGATGATTGTCGCCTTACAAAGATTGGTTTGAAAACCTTCGCTTGAAAGACGCCACAGAATTTCGAAGATATGTGGTTCAAAAAACTTATATTTAGAAAATAATAAATGTACATAGTTTATTCCACTTCGTCATCTAAATCATCAGCTTCTTCTAAAGCCTGTTTGGCGAATGTCTCTGCTTCATCAAAGAGTTTGCGGGGAACAGGTTGATGTATACCCTTTGTATCTAAACGTATGTATATATTATCAGATCGATAGACTTACTTGCACCAACCCAACTAAGATCCAATTCAAAATTTTTGTCCTTAATTTCATCGTGAACGGTATAAATTCTACAAAAACGGAAAACCGTGACCATTGATTCAACACAATAAGACAGGTTAATATTGGGAGCGACCTTAATAATTCTTGTCACCATTGCCTTTTTAGTTTAAAATCTAAGTCATGGTATTACTGTACTGATTTACCACATCAATTCTAGTCCGGAAAATATTTTGAGGCACATTAATGTCAGAAGACTTATAATCGTTTACAGTTTATTTGTCACACTAATTGGCAAGACTTAACGAAGCTCGTTGTGATAAATACGGATAGTACTTTAAGCAGATATTAGTAAGACCTGCCGCTAGCCCTTCCTAACTCTGTGAACATATCCATCTTTTCATAGACAGGTGTCAAATAAACGTCACTGTCTTCAACTATTAACTTCACTGTAATTCATAAGTGTAGTTAGTTATTTATATTTTCTTCTGGGTGTGATCTTGAGTGTCAGTTATCTGTCGTTATCTATTATCGTTTTGCCCGTAAATACGTTTGGCTAATAATCCGTAACTCATACATGCATTCATATACAAACGACACTCCTAGTTCGGAATCAAGCAATGCACACCAAAGGCATTGCATCGAACGAAGCCCCAGGCCTTAGGAAACTGCAATAGCTTTAAGTCAGAGTTCAGTCGTCTGCCCCTGTCGATTCGGAAACTTTTATATCTTTTTTGGTTTTAATGATCTTTTAGGTAATAAGCAGCAATTGGTGAAAAACGTTTGATTACGTTTCCCTTGCAGGGAATAAGTATGAAAGTAGAGAAATATGTATTGAGACGTAGATAAACTACTTAGCACACTGTAATACCGATACACCTATCTTTTCTGTATAATAAAATGTCAAGGAAATGCCATTTGTCTTTCATCTTTTTTTCATAAGTGAACGAGTCACAGAAGGTATTCAGTTAAACTCCCTTAAAAGTTCTTTACTAAAATAGTTTAGGGAGATAAGGTAAGATAACACCTAAAAAGGTCTCACTGCTATCCCGTCAATTTGTATGTTATTAAAATCGAAATTACAAGATAGGCCTCTCAAGGATGCTATCTAGTCGACCAGTGGTGGTTGGTTAATCAAAGGGTAAGTTAGCTGGTTTTATTACTCCAAGTTGCATTTATTAATTCGGCTCCTCCTGCGAATTGAGCTACATTGAACTACTAACCAACTTAGCCAACGAGCATCTTTTGCGGCTAGGAAAGGGTCGGACGAAATACGTACGCCTAACGATCTGTTACTGTCGATAAAACCAAAACCTCTAAATTAGTTTGCTGTATATCTTCTGGTCTTTCCAGCGAGCTTCGATTTCGTCTTCTACAAGTAGCCGGAGCTATGTGAATTTGAGCAGACTCTATTATCTGTATGTGAAAGTTAGATACGTTTGTCCCTTTTTTAGACAAAGAAAACGAAATAAACTAGCTTAGTGGTCCTTTCTACTTTTTGTCAGACTTTAACCCTTTCGTATCTTTTTTTTACGAATATACGCCATTTACTATGTGGTTTTTAGTGATTATCATTTAGCGAACAGTCTCAAACAGTAAGACAATTTCTCGATCGTAGTATGTAGGTAAGGTCTCTTAAAAGGCAGATATAGGCTGGCACTACACACGTTCTTCAGAGCAGCTGTCACACAGTCAAAAGATATAAGTTGGTAACACAACAACCTTCTAGAGGCACATATATCTACGAAACGTCGGACGTACTTCACATTTTTCTACTTGGCTACAAACTGAATTGACTTTGTTTGCTCGGTGCATATTTACTAGTACTTAGACGTTTCGAAAAATTACACGTGCGCCAAAGTATCAGTGAACTCATGAACAGGAAAATGTCATGAAGACCTACATTTTGGCCGCTTCCTTGATTAATTCTTCAGGAGACAAATCATTCATCTTCAGTTTCTCTATTTCAGTTGTTGCATTTTGTTTGGCTTTTCCGATGGCACAGCCAAAATAAGCCTTTCATGTAAAGAAAGTAAAGACAATAATGTTGCAAGATAAATAGATTCTAGAAAATAGAGGAAATTTATTATTTTGATAATAAGTAGCTAAATCAAAATTTACTATACTATAGTGAAGCCACTAGGGCATCTACTGAGTGACCAGATGTTTTGTATGACATTGAGGTTAATAATAACACTGCTGACAAACAATAACCAACGTCATACAGAAGTTCATGGAAAGGAATTTAACAAATTACACATGTATCAGATAAGTAGACTACTTAGAGATCTTAGTTTGAAGTGAGGTCAAAACATTATAAATAATCTGTCCAACACCATAATTTACTTTCCAAGCTTAAACTTGAGAGGAATAATTGGCTTTGAACATGTCCTTTTATTTAGGGTAATCAAATGAAATAGTCAGTCAACACTAAAGTAAGACCTCGCATGAGTGTCGATTGGATAAAATTTCCACACCTGACACCAGTGCAGTGAGAGGAAATACAAAACCGAAAGCATGTTGTGAGTAGTGATTTAAAAAAGAATGCACTTCAAAATATGAGAGATTCAATGACGAAAATTTTGCAATGACTATCAGAATCAATTGGATTTTGAAAACTTTATAACAGAACTATTGTTAAGCTGTTTAAAACTAGTGTGACAAAAGTACGGATTTTATAAGTATTCATCTAAAATTACAATTTTTAATTACTGCAGAAAGTGAACAATGCAAACGTTAAGACTGCATAACATGCCTTGCTAAGCACTGAGAATATAAAAAACAGGATGGATAATGACCCGCATGAGTAAAGAACGGTGAAAAACTTAGAATCGAAAATACGTGACACTAAAATTTGGATTTAGGAGATAAAAGGAATGTAGTCGCGTTATTGAGACCGATTTCAGACTATATCAACAAAGCACTTTTTCACAGCCTCTGAGGACGAATTCGGCACTTGGGGACTAACAATTTATGACCTGGTGGCATGTCTAAATCTGCTTACCCTTAGATGCGTATTAGGGTATGCGGTGACTGCATATAAAACATCCCCAGATGCGGTCACTGAAGATAGAGCCTTACCAAACTTATTTTCTATCAATATTTAACTCAGGAGCTCAGCATTACTCACTGTGTTTGCATCACGTAGTAGCAAACAGCACACTATATTTGCCCCATTATATTCAGAAAATAGAATTAGTCGAAGCATTCGAAAATGATTTAATGCTAATAATGAATGTATATTAGATTTTCCGTAAACACAAACATGTAGTGAACTCTGATGACTTAACGTTAATATATTAACCTGTTATCGTAGATCTGATTGGTTCGTTCAAATATTATAGTCTTGCCCATTACTCAAATAAAAACTACTCTACCTCAGAATAAAACAGCACTTCACAAGAAAATTACGGCACAATATTGGCGTAGACTTACAAAAGACAACCCGGAAGGCTCTATCACGAACAAATGAGGACCATCGTTTTCGTAGGAACCAAGCAAAACTGATACACCGAACGGTCTGACCGCACTATAAAGTGTGTGAGCGTGCATGTACATAGCCAGTCGTTCCGTCAGAGACTATAGGAAGAAATATAGCAAACGGGAAACATACATAGAGAGGTATACGGCTTCCAAAGCTATTACGATAATTTGAGCATTCTTCTCTGGCTGCCTCAACGATTGCCTTGGCGTCAGTTTGAAATCCCATCACCACCTAGAATGTATGGGCATTGTAACTAACAAATTACCATCCCGATATGGTCATCAATATTATAAATCCGTTTAACACAACCAGGCTCGTAAAGTTTTGATGTGACAATATTCTCCACAGCAAAAACTACACAGTCTTTACCTTGGATAGCGATGGCTGTACTAAAAACATGGGTAAAATAATGACGTTATTTCTTGCCCGCTATTTTCGACAGCCTTACAGGCATACTCTATCTGAAAAACATTTCCGCCTCGTGAGAACTGCGATGCAGTAAGGTCATACTAAAAAATAATTGTAAAGAACTAGAGACAAACCCCACTACCGATAGAAGACATGACTAAGCTACTACAATTCCGCGACCAACGACCTTTTTCAAGGGAATGTCCGACGCTCAATATTTTGATGACGAGTTTGTATAGCCCAGTAGATTTCTTAGTACAACCCTTTCGATGTTAAGCAGCAGTTATGTAATTTTCTGTCACTCCTGGCGAAATGTTTTTTTAGATTGTTCTTTGCGATATGTACTTCAGTATTTCTCGAGTTACTCCCTCTTACCTTTATTTACTCTCATCGAAGTTTCTATTTCAGCAGACAGTGAATTGGCTGTGGTCATTTGCTATTGCTCCCTCAAGTATTGTCGTGTCGAGCATCAGCTAATACAATATGAAGTATTGTGAACTGAAGTGAAGATGAGCTTAAAATGAACGGTAGATTTATGGGGCGGCGAATGTAAAAGAAGGGGTATTAACATGCAATGTTGAAGAAAGCTGTTTACTCACTGTTTTGTTGAGATAGTTTACACCGTGTCAAATATCAGAGATCATGACAAGTGTAGATCATTGTAAACAGCACTGGCACTTCCGGCATATCCATACACCTAAACCTGTACCTGAAAACCTCAGTCGTTAAGCCTCTTTCTGCATTCCCAAAAGATTTACATCTGCCTTCTGAAACGAAGTTAAGACCTGTTATCGTTTTAAACATTAGGGACAGTTTGCGGTGAGTCGGTTAAGCTTTCTTGTGGAAAAACGACTTAGGCATTGTCCATATCACCTAGGTAACTTGCACTGATTTCTAAGGTACCTGTAATCAGCAAACCAAGATCTCAACATCTGTAGGTGTTGGTGAGGAAGGATGTAAGATGACCATTTTGTGAAGGAAGTTCTTCACTGTAGAATATTTGAAGAGAATAAATTTCAGCCGACTGTCCTTCACTGAATTCCGTAATGTGGAACCGTTTGAACGACTTAAGATGTCGTGGAATATGAAATGTGTGGGCATCGGTAGAGTTTATTTTTAAAACGCTGAAATAGAGGCGATTCAGCTAGCTTCGGTTGGAGATGAAAACCGGAATTGACGTGTAATGAGACAGGATGGTCATCTATTGCCTGATAAATTATAAACAGCGATATCTAGCTCAGTACAATTCGCTAATCAACAATGTTCACCACAATGTCTGCAAAACGGTGGTACTAGTAATAAGATAGCATTTCCAACTTAATATTTCTCTCAACAATAAGTCACATCTACCAAGTGACGGAATATCGGTCAAGATAGTCAATATTATCCGAATGAAAGACTCGATGTTAAAGAATAAAACTTTCACACCAATATCAAACACAACGATCATAATTGATTGATCACTGGGTGGTGATCAATGTCATGTGGGTCAAGTCCTTATCAATGCAGATCGAATGCTATCGACCATGTTGCAACGGTGATTGGAGCTAGTCGACTGGACACCTTGGACACGGATCTCAACATAGTGCACGCAGTGTCGTCACATTGGCTGGTGGCCGCATGGCAACATGGTCGATAGCATCCGATCTGCACTAATAAGGAATTGACACACATGATATTGATCACCACCCAGTGATCAGTCAATTGTGATTACATCTCAGTCCTACAGGGGGTCGGTCGCGGCTCGGATAGCTCAGTAGTAACGTCTCTGACTGTGAAGCTGGGTGAGACGGGATTGAATCCGTCAGGGAGCATCAGTTCCCTCAAAATTACAGGTACACCTTTCTGACTAGTGCCAAGTAGCACGAAACCCGGGTCCAGGGTTTCCTACCTCTAATCACTATCTAATCTCAAACACAACGATCTTATTTCTCTACGGCGCTTGCCGGTATTTACAAGCAGCCTCCGGTTTTAGCTGATTGTCTATGTATTCCGTGATATTCGAGGGTTAGAAGCTGATAATCCAATTTACTAAGCCATATTGAGTCTCACGGATGCTTTTGCTTACACTGACAGTAAAATTACAATGATGGAGTGTTTTAGGAATTTCATAAATGTACAATATAATTTCATTTTCAAATACCATTACAAATTAATTGATACGCTTATTTGTTCATTTTCGTAACATCAAATAAGAAATTAGTTATCTGCGATATTCTACCTTCTAATATTGAAATAAATTCCAAATGTATGTTTTTAACCAATTCATCAGACTACTTAACTTTCAGCTTATACTACTTACACCATATAAATTCAGTGTATATTGTACTACCAAACTGTCTCGGAAAGATTACATATAAAGAATTACAATATTTTGAAAGTCAAGCAGAGTAATACTATAACTTGATTAGCTAAGGTAAGAAAAAAAGCGTCACCTCAACGCACATCCTGATAAATCATCTACCTAAAAAATAACCCTCTTTTAGCCAATAATAAATTTGTGCTTATTAAGTCGTCCGTTCTACATATCTGTCGTTTCTCTCCTCGTGAAGATTCTTTTATATATGATCCTCTGCTTGCCCCTCTGGAACTAAACATCCAATTATGCAAAACTTAAAACTTGCTAAAGGCTTATCGTTGCAATTGAATCGATACAGAATGATACATTGTTTTCTCTTAATATTTACGAGAATGAAATCGTTCAAAAAGATTCACTTCCCGTTCATTTAGCACTAAATAATGACAAAACATTTCCAGCTAACATGTCTCAAATAGGAGAAAACTCCCATTCTACCTCTGCTATCCCCACTCTATCTATCCATTAAAATAATTTTTTCGGACAACAAAAGGAGGCATTATTAGCTAACTAAATTACAATGATTGTTAGTCAATGGTGATGTTTTTAGTTCCCCTGAAGTTTTAGTCACTGATACGAAGTATATTTTATTACAAGAGTGAAAACAATGATCTCCAGAGAAAGCCCTGTAATTTAAACTAGAACATTAAACATAAGTGAACAGTATTGTTTATCTTTGGATCCTACTTCGAACCTATTCTAGCATATGTATATATATTGTGACGTGTGCTACTGATGTCGGCAGATATAAGTGGTATATACCATCAATTGAAAGTGAAATGCCTGGAGGCAGAATGTTAAGAAGATCAAAGAAAAGAGAACGAGATCAAAGAATGATTAGTGTGGAAACGAAAGAACATTGAGGTATGAAACGATTGATCGACATTTTGCAAATGAAGTATTTACAGTATGATTCTCAGATTTTACTAAGACGTTCTGTAATTTTGTATTCAAATATGTATGTTCTCAATGACTACTATATATATATATATATAAAGTACGCGATAACATGTAACATGTGCGCGAGAACCCATAACTTACCATTTTTGTTTTACTGTCCTACTCATTGAGTACATGTTTACATGGTTAATTTAATTTAAATTTTTTTGTAAAATTTTATGCTAAACAGATAATAAGTGATTGTTTTAATTTTAAGAAAAATAAAACGATGTAAAGTTTTATAATTAAAATGTATAACACTGCCTGTTAAAGAAGTTAATAAAAGGGCTTGATAAAAATTAGCCGCAATGGAAATTAGTCGTAGTAGTATTGCTATAGTTTATAGAGAATGCTTTATTTCCAAATCACCGCCCAAAAAAATTGAAGCCTAATCGCCTTGACAAATAAATATTTAAAATTCAATATTATTAATAATGCCTATCTAATTCATAAAAGTGAAGTATATCATGTAAGTGGTGAGCTCCTTTCGTAGTATAATTACTAACACTTGCGTTGATTTTAAAGGCATATTCTCCAACTGCATTCAAAACCTGATTCAACTTTATAGCATGTTTGGTAAATGTATAAAAGTATGAAGTTACATGCCCCAAAATGCCCTGGCATGGCCGAAAGTGGGGAGAGTCCGCTCTCTCTCTCCAAATGCTCTCACATAGCCACGTGTATATAGCCTCCGCCAGGGAAGTCCTACTCACTGCTTTCTCGCGACGAGGGTGTTGTTTACGAAATTGAGAGGACGAAAAGCGAATGTTCGGCGCTTTAACCAGGTTGGTGGACGTGGAGAGTCCACCTAGGGGAGTTGGAAAACCTTGATTCCATGCCAGTGGTGCACATGGACTCCAGTATCCTGAAGGAACAAATGGCATATGAACCTATCGTTGGTAACCGGCTACCATGAGATTGCATCTCCTTACGTTGCTCCACTGCCTTGTGGATCAAACCTGTAGGTCGAAGGTCCCGGGTGTGGTCCCCTAAGAAAACCACCTGCTTCGGTTTGGGCACCCAGGCAGTATCACAGCCCTCACACAAATCAAATTAGATTTGTGTGGCGTATATGTATTTGGTGCCTCCTTGTACCAATATATATGTGTTAAAATAAATAAATAAATAAATAAATAAATAAATAAATAAATAAATAAATAAATAAATGGAGTTACATGTAATCAGTAAAACTCTCTACTTATGAATTCATGATAAACCAATAGTCTAACACCCTACTATTATCCTATATTATCTGACCGAATTTCAGAGTCCAGTTCCTTCCTGTTCTTGAGACCTTGTGGCAGTAACAAGAGAACATTACTTGATCAGATAGCTACTGAAATGATATTTACTGAATTTTTTTAGATGACTGGAGCAAATGTTTCAAGATGATAACACTTAGTTGATAATTATCACTTCATTGTCAAAGTACACATTGTCTCACTTATACACTTTTGCTACAACATAGTAGTATACGTATAGATATGAAACTAAGATTAAACTAAGTAAGTGATTGAAAATCTATGGTTCACACAGTTCATCTTGTCTGTTAGACGTCATTACAACAGTATAGACAACTTTTATTTTCGTATGTGAACATCTCAACTATTATTGACGACTAGCCTTAAATGATGGGGGCTGAAATCGACTTATATCGTGTTTCCAATTTCAAAGTACACCCCATAATTATTAACGTTCATCCTAACCTGATAAGATGTAAATACTCTGTAGCTCATCAAATAATAAAAAAAAGTCAATCTATATATTAAAGACCTAGAACAAAGTCAAATTATTCCTTCCGATTGTTTTTCTTTTCTATGGAATGCCACCATTGAAAAAGTCAGTGAACCTTGAAAAGATTGAATAAAATTACATCCTAACTCCTTCAACTATTCGAACATGAAAGAGAAGGGTAATGATATGTCACCTTTCTATATGA